GGATTGCCTAAATAAAAAGCTCAAAAGAACACATTATAATTTTTTGTATTATTCTTCGTACATCACACCATAAATTTTCAATATTTTTCCTAAAACCCTAAGATATGATGTATCAAATTAGTATCAGAGCGTATAGTTGCATCATCAATTCCACTAAAAGGCATCATTTGGATTAAAAAATTAATAAACATAAAAGTAAAACAAAATTAGCTAAATTATGGCTCTATATGAATGCATTATCACTATCGTGAGGATCATAAATAGTGTCATACAATTGAAGTTAATTCCTTAGGAAGTTTCTAACTAGATTATTTCTACCAATCAAACTACAACTTTATTTATTTTTTATTTTTGATTATTTTGATTTTCAAATTCATAGAGAAAATGTTACGGATAAAGTGAAATAATGTTTCTATTTTAACAGATTTTTTAATAAGGGGTGCCTTAACTAATATTTGAAGACTCTATATAAGCATCTATATTTATATAATTGTATCTATTTTCAATTTTTGTTATCATCTCATCTTCTTTAATAGGTCCTTAATAGCAAACCAAAGGATGCATATTAGTAATTTGGTATTCTCAATACTTGCATCTTGTCATTTGCAAGATTTGCATGAGAAAATTCACAGGAAACTAACCATTAAGTATGGCGATTGTACTTTTATTGCTATTGTGAATACGGGATATGTGAAAGGTGATAAAAAAAAAAAGATAAATCTAAATCTTGAAAAACTTCCTACAGTGTGATCTTTAAAACAGTTAAATGCAAGAAATGTGAGGCCATATAAAATCTTATATCTCATTAGGGCGAGAACATAAAAAAATGAAAATTATAAAAAGCTCTGGTATTATTATTGCTTCAATATATCTGATTTTATTTTATTTTATAAACATGCTATCAAAGTTTTTATTTTTTTCACATTCATCTCCTCATCGCAAATTCACATTCAATACATTAGTAGATAGATCCACTTATCTTGTTCCATGATCTAATGCAGCAGGATTATAGCCCTTGGGATGACATGCATTCTTGTGATGATTCATTAATTATCTTATAAGAAGCAAACAAATTTTTCCTATAGATCTACAAGTTAACTATTAAATACTTAATTCATTGGAATTAAATTTTCTGAAATTTAGTAGAATGATGCAAATTTGAAAGTCCTTATTCTTAGAAAATAAAAATTGTATATATTCATAATTTCATATTGGTTTATTTGTTCATCCGCATTAATTTCTACTTGCCTAATCTATTTCCTTATAAAGCGTGCCTCTAACTATGATTGTGTTGAGAAATGGATTCATTCTCTAGCATTTTGATTACCTTGTTTGGTTAGATTTACCGATGCAAGATATTATAATTCAGCTCTCGTATTCTCTAGTTCAGTTGTAATTGATTTTGCATTTCAACAAATGGTGAATTTCCCTTGTTTTTGATTCAACAAATATTCAGTCATTATTTGTTGCTAATTTACTCATTATTAATTATTATTATTATTGAAATCATATCTGTAGTTGAAGTCTTCTATGCTCATGTTGTTAAAGCCTTCTTTGTAGTTAAGGCCCTCTCTATTACTATTGCTAAATTTCCCTTTATTCCTTCCATCTACGGCTCTTTACTTTTGATAATTGATTGATGCAGAAAAACTGAGCCTTTATTTATTTTGTTCTAGATTTACTGCTACTTGTTTGTTTTACTTATTCTCTCGTAATTCTTCTATTCTCAACTAATGCACCATGGAGCAACTAAAATTGCTTGCCATTGAAAAAAAAAAAAAAACGGGATTTGAAAATTAATTGTTTGGCTGAAACTGAAATGGAAACTTGTTTTTTCTACTATAATCCAAATTTATTGAATTGACACTTGCAGTTTTAGGTTTGATTTTAGAGGATTCTAAGAATTTAAATTTTTTTAGTATTTATATTATTAATAAGAGGTCCTTATGCATGTAAAATTATGCATATGATTTAATAAAATTCAAATTTCCTCTCAATACTTGGGTGTGTGTGTTGGATATAGATTATTCAAATGCTTTTAGGTCTTAACAACTTCCACGGCCAACATGATGCATGGATCTTTAATTGATAACTTCTATCATTTGTTCTTTAATCAAAATTATTTTATGATTGATTTGTGTGCATGATTAAATCTTATCAAGTCCAATACATACAAGTTTCCGCTTTCGTGATGTTAATCTTAATTGTTGTGAAAGTTCTTTTTTTTTTTTTTTTTTTTTTTTTTTTTTTTTTTTTTTTTTTGAACTTTTAGATATTGGCCATTTTTCTCTTATTAATTGGAACTTAATTAAGTGTTTTTTCCCTAATTTTGCCACAAAAGATGTCAATCTTTACCTAAATTAAAAATTGAGAAACTACAAAATTATGATAATTTATGTAATTCTTCACACATGACATCCTAAGCTTGCATTAGTGATTATCATACCCTAAAATGTCCTGCATCACATAGACTATGGCTTGAGTATGATACCTCATCAATCTGGTGGACAATCCTTTCCTCATCATGCATGCATACATCCACATAAATATTTATACATTCAAACTGTTCCATGAATGTCAATCACTTAAATGAGTACCAAAAAGAAAATTGACTGTATTAGGAATAAAAAAATTAAGATGTTTGAAGTACGTGTTTTACATCTTTTAATTTCACTAGGCATGCAAAACAAGGTTTAAAATTGACCAACTGGGTATTGATGAATTTTTCATTCATGAGGCAAGGTATAAGCCTTGAGGCATTTTGAGGCGTAAGTCTCAAGGCATTTTGAGGCGTAAGCCCAAAATACAAAATATGTGTAAAGTGAAAATAAATATTAAAATGATTTTTTATGTAACACTCAAATAATATGTTAAAGGAAGACATATTAACTTTTGATTGAACGATGAAGTAATAAATTGACATGCATATAAAACAAAAAGTTACACAAGATGTAAAGTGACAAGTGATAAATTGCATAAAATAGAATTAAAATGTAAATATTATAAGAGCAAAATAATATAAAATATAAGAATTGCATAAAATCATTATATAACATCAAGTTTAACTCCAAGTTCATTCTTTCTCAGTTTCTTACTCATCCATTTTTTATTCTTAAAGAAAGCTTAAATAATTGACAACAATTCATAAATCATCTACGCTATCATGACCAAGGGGGTCATAATTTGTGTCGTCGTCATAATAAATTGGTCTCTTCCATGCCTCATTCAGTGGAGTCTCATGCCTCCCAATTTACTTGTTCTTCATTTATTTCAGTCATTTTTTTCTTTCATAAATGTTTGTCAACAACATAAAGATGAGAGTAAAACTCAAAAGTTTTTAGAGGAGGAGGTGGTGTTATGCGACTTTTAAGTGATCCCCAACGGCACTTAATAATGGTGGCTGCAGCAAAGGCAGCGGGCTGGAGGTCAAGGCAAACAAGAGGAAGTTTTGTGGCTCGGGGATTCATGAAAGCATTATTTGTTTAGGGCTTCAATTTAGGATTTAGGTCATTTTTAATAATAATATATAAAATCGAGGTACCCATTCTATGATAGATTTGAACTTTCCCTCTATTTTTGTTCCTATAGTGGGCCTAGTCTTTCTAGCAATCACATATGGGTGAGGCGTACACCTCACTCCAGTTACGTGCGGCGCTTCTCAACACAAGCCTTAGCCAAGTTGAGGCGCAAACCTCATAAAAAAAGCTTGAGGCATTTTCACCAGAATTGAGCTAAAGCTGACCTCATGACGAGCCTTCTATTGTTCAATTTTAAACAATGATGCAAAATGATACAACAATAATAAAAACATATATCATGATAGAGAAGCAATATAAAGGATAGGGAAGAGGCCCCAACAAATATTGCCACAGGATATCCAAGAGGACTTATAAAGGAAAGGATTGGAGGATATGGCCACAAAAAAAAAAAAAGAATGAGGATGGGGATGAACAATGCCACCAAATCAACCCATTGGCATTTCTAATGTGAACATAAACTATCCAAAATAAGCTCACACCATGTTAAATCAACATGCATGCATAAAGACACATAAAAGACTTATAGTGCTTAAGAATATGTATGGACATCTTGACTTCTCTGAATTTCTCAATGTATTAGAGTGGAATTTTCCAACCCCAAACCCTAGGAAGCCCTTCAACATCATCCAATGTATCCTACATTTACACTAGAGTAATATTGCGAATGAGCTTGGCTTTTGCAACCTAAAAGAAAAAAATATCAAGAGCAAACAATTTAAGAAACCGTAACGGCAGATTCAATTGAGAGAGTCGCCTTAGATGGTTTGGTCACATTAAACGGAGGCCTTCCGATAACCCGGTTATGAAAGTTGAGGTGTTAGATTTGACTTATGTTAAGAAAGGTAGAGGTAGACCTAAAAAGACTTGGTTAGAAAATATTAGAAATGATCTTTCTTTATTAGATTTAAATAATACTTTGAATTTTAACTGGACAAAATGGCAAAAAAGGATTCATGTAGCCGACCCCACATAGTGAGACAAAGGCATGATGTTGTTGTTGTTGTTCTAATGGCAGATTCAGTACAGTCAGTAGAATCCAAGCTAGCCTCAAACATGAGAAGTTCTCTCAACTCAATAAACCAAAGCGTACAAAAGGATTGCACCTATAGACTCACGCAAAAATAAAGAAAAAAGAACACTCTAAGAGGCCCGAGAACCTTAAATGCAAACGCAACAAAGATAGATGACAGACTGGCGTAGAAACAGGTGGCTCCAATGTTCGCTCAAACCAAATTGTGTCATTTTAACCTAGTGTAAGCCAATTTTGCAATTTAAACAAACTAGTGCTCTGCATATCTAAAAATGACATTGAAGACTTAAAAATAAACAGATAACAAAAAGCAAGAGACACCCTAATATTAGGCAGAAAGTTTGGCCAAACCACGGCTACAAGTACGTAAATGTGGATGTCCAATAAAATCACAGATCACGCCACCGCTATATTCTTATATCCATACTGACCTATTGACGGGAGTCCCGGTTTCCCCGGCAGCGAAGAATGCGGCAAACTGTAACCACCATACCTTTCCCCCTCCGCCACTCCCCTCCTCATCCTCTTTCCTCCTACCTCCTCCATCTCATCGTCATCCTCTTCCATCTCCCGCACCTCCTCATACCCCGCGATCCTTGGCCGGGCGGAGGCTATCTTTCGCCCCGCGAATGGCAGAGGAGGCGGTGGAATGTGGCGGTGTACAGAAGCTGTAGAAAAGATGGATCGAGTGGGAAGTAGGAAGTAGAACTTCTTGTCTCCAATCTGAAGAAGGTCCTGTGAATCGAGCTTGACAGGTGGGTTTCCTGGAAGGTGGAGTACGCCCTCGACGAGGCAGCCGTTCTTTCCAATGACGTCTAGGGCGAAACGGCGACGCTGGAAATCGTAAAAGATGCGAGCGTGATGGCGGGATATGTTCATCCCACCCCCGAGGCTCGAGAGGTCGACGTCGACGGCCGATTTCTTGCTGTTGCGCCCCAGCATGATCGAATAGGTCTGCATGTAGTACTCGAAATCCTCGCCCTGGAGCTTCGCAAACCCAGCCTCAACCTCGCTGGAAGCGGCGGCGTTGCTTCCTCCGACCATCGTCATCGGGAACTCGGGGAAAGAAAACACAGCAGGAGCGGGAGCGCGCCTCCCTCTTGAGTGTGTCCGAAATAAATGGGCTTTCGTTCAAGTTTTTAATTAGTCGAACAATCAAAATAATAGAGAAAAAGCTAAAAATGTTTTTTTTTTAACTATTCATTAAAAAAAATTGAAAAAAAAAGCAAATATAATTTACTTTATAAACTATTATTGGGCTTTTGGTAACAATATAATTAATACATAATTTAAATTTATTCAATTAATAGGAAGAAAATTTTTTTTTTTTTTTTTTTTTTGGGAAATTTTGGGGCCTAGGCCCATATATTACTATAAAAAAGAGGTTACAAGTAAAGGTGAATACATGTAAGAATAATCCATCATAAGCAAAAACAAAAACTTATGAATGTCATATGGAAGAAAAAACCCCAACTATACCACCCATACAATAAAAAAATAACACAAAATTGAGGCAAAAGGAGCTGCAGCCAGCAAAACCTGCAGCACACCAGAATTGTGCAAGACCCCAGAAGAAGCCATGAGCTCACAGAAATTGATAGCGCTTCCCCTTCCCAGATGAAGAACTGGACCCTTATCATCACAGTCGCGCCAGGAGAAAAAGGAACACCTGATAATCGAGAAAACAAAGCCAAAGAGTCGGTAGAAAAACAGAACCAAAGTTCTCAAAATGAGCTCCATTGAGATTAACCAGGACTCAGATTTAAGAAAAAAGGCAAAATCCTTTGGTTGCCCGAAGAACATCCAAGGGGAACCGAAGAACATCCAAGGGGAATACAGATCTAGAACTTCAATTAGGAGCTTTATCATTGTCCTGGTTAATAAAATCAACCCCGCCAGTAAACAGCTCCAACCATCAGATTTATCCAGAAGAACATCAAAATTTCTCCACTTAGCGATCTTCCCTGTAATAATTCTTTTGACGGCAAACAACAAAGAAGAAGAGCTTTGAATTTCATTCCCAAATCTTCTACTATTCCTTTCCTTCCATAATTGGAAAATAATACAACAAACTATTAGAATATACGTAATTTGAGAACCAGAAAATTCAGTCTCCATCCATTGTTCTCAGGGAACTTTTATTACGTTCGGTGCAAGGACGTAGAGGAGCGTCCGGTCAGAGGCAATTTACCGTCAAAAAATTAGGTATTTGCTCGGTACAACTTGGTATTATTTGATAATAATGAGGAATACCGTTCTTTGAAGACCAATACCGAGTTATACCGAGTTTTTCTGGGAAAAACTCGGTACAACTTTGGTATAACTCGGTATTTGATCGGTAAAGCCCGGTATAACTCGGTATTGGGCCTTCAAATGATGGTAAGAATTAGAGAGAATGTTTATTTATTTTGCATCACAAATATAGTTTCATGTCAGAATATTCATGACAGTAAAAAAAAAAGTTAATATTCTTAGTATTTTATGAAAATGAAGCACATATATAAATAAAAAAAAAGTTGTAAGAGAGATCAGAGTTTATATGTGGTCAGTCGAAATGATTTCATTAGCGTACACTATTGATTATAAATATTGTTTTAACAACATTGATAAAATATGATAGACATAAACGGTATAAAATAGATATTATGGTGAAAGTTGCAAGAGCCTTATTGGCAAGTTAACCAACTTTAAAGACCTTTTGGTAATTGTCCTATGAGGAGAGAAAACTAAAGATAAACAAGTCCAAAATAAATCTTAATGTTGATATTAGGAGTCAAATTAGATGTCAATGACTTGAATTAGCTTTATAGACGACATCATGTATTGCATTATTAGCAACCACAAACTAGAAAGTCAAGGATCTTTAGGATAGTAAGGATATAATGCTAGGAGATTGTATTTGATCGATGCTAGTAGAAAGATTATAGTCATGCAATGGCGGTTTAAGTATCATAATCAAGCGATGATGGTCAGAGATTCATAATCGAGCGATAGTGTTTAGGTGACTGCACTCTAGACGACGATAGTTAGAATACCATAGTTGGGTGATTATAGTCATACGATATAATCAGACAACAATAGTTGGGCGATGATGGTTTAAGGATTGTAATCAAGTGATGGAGGTTGAAGGATTGTATTCAGGAGACCATAGTCAGGCAATGGTCGTTGAAGGATAATAATCAAGTGACAATGGTAAGAAGAATCTAGTAAAGCAAAGGTGATCAGAGGACCCTAATTGAGCAATAGTTGTTGAAGGTCATAGTCGTGTGATGATGGTCGAACGGCTAAAGTCTATCAATGCTCATTCATGTGTTGGTCTGAAACTGGTGGTCGGACGGACGGTGATTTAATGATGACAGTGGTTGTTAGAAGGTTATCCAATGGCAATGTTCAGTCTCATGCTGGCAATTCATTGAAGGTCTGACAATGTTGTTTGGATAGTTGTGTAATGGTGGCGGTCGAGTGGTGTCTCGATGATGGTGAACATGTTGTGTTCCAATAGTAGTGGTTTACAATCGGGTAGCATTTCGATGATAGTGATTGAGTTGTGTTATGATGGTGATGATAGTGGTGCTAGTGGTGGGGAATTGTTAGAAAATAAAATTTTAGTTTAAAATTCACACAAATGCAGGGATGCTCATATTCTTGTGATCGAATATGACATTGAGAATAGTATTCTATTTTGAAAGATATAAACAAAATTCTATATAGGTATGAGAATAGGGTTTTAAAAATCATTTACTTTCATAGTAAAATACAAATAAAAGAATAACATACTACCTCGAAAGACAAAAATGTCATTCTCAAATAGTATTTAAATATGAGAGTGGGTTTTTGAAAATTCACCAATTTTGTTATCAAATATCACAATAATCTTATCATATTGCTTCAAGAGGTGAACATGACATTCTACGAAGTAGTTTGAATACAAAAATTAACTTTTATAAAAATGTTAATATTCTCAGATATTTTGTCCCTATCTTTTGAGGTTTATTTTACACCGGAGTTATTGATTCCCCATAAAGATAATCCTTTATGATTAATCACATCTTATGATAATTAAGGCTTCGTTTGGGACGGTTTTTTTATTGCTTTCTAGAACGGAGTTTTAGTTCAAAATTAAAATTTTTTTTACTAAAACTCCGTTTTAGAAAGCAATAAAAAAGCTGTCCCAAAAATGAAGCCTAAACCTTCTAAGAATAATTTAAATTAAAATAGTTGCAAATATTTGTTTTAAATTTCAATGATTAAGACAAGGATAAGATGTGAGAAATTTTTGAAGGGGATTAGGTCAATTTGATACCATTCTTTCTGGAAGCCAAAGCATTGACATGTATGGAGCACTTTAAGATTAAGGGATCTCCTAGAAAGCACCCAAATCCATCATATATTGGACTTTAATATTTTAAAGAGAATATAGTATATTTAAGTTTGTATTTTATTAGTATTTGGAATTATATTTTCTGAGGGTGAGGACTTATGATTTGAAGTATGCCTAATAACCTCGATTTAAGTTGGGCACTACATAATAGAAATCTGAATCTATTCTAAGTACAGTTATGGTCTTACATATTGTCTGGAGTTGGATGCTAGCTAAAACACCTAATCATTTCAAAATCATGTTATCCAGTCTTTTATGAAAAGAGATCCCAAATTTTATTTTTGAAGTTTCCAATTTGATTTTTGCCTCGTGATTCGTGCCCCATCAAGATAATTTTTTGATGACATATCAATTATAATGAGGATCATATGCCTATGCATAATTTTGTATCTTGCAGGTATTTTTAATGACGATCAAGATTTTGCATATCTTTGATAGTTTGGATCATGACTTCATGTGATTATATAAGGTTCTTAACTATTATATAAAATACATGTGTTATATGTAATAAGTCATGAGCTATTCGTAGCGGTGCAAAATAATTAAACGAGTGGGGTTTAGGTTCAACCCGAAATTGACCTGGCCTAAATCTGATCAATCCGAACATGATCCGTTTAATAAACAGGTAAAAAAATTCAATCTGAATCTGACCCGCTAGCAAGCTAAACCTTAACTCGACCCAATAACCATTTTAATTTAAAAAAACTTTATTAGTTTATTAATCATAAAATTTAGTTTAATTAATTAAAAATAAGAAGTTTATACTACTTAATAAAAAAGTTAAGGAAAAATTGTAAGATTGGTCATTTTTCTATCAAAATTGGATTAGCGGGTCAATTTGACCCATTTAATAAACGGATCGGAATGCACATCCGAACCCAACTTATGCATTAAACGGATTAATCTGAATCCAAATTTTTCAAATCAAATTACTTATTGACACCCCTAAGCTAACCTCATGTGATTGTTATGCCTTCATGTTAAGTTTCAGTAATGATACATTGGGGGTCCGCAGGTAGTTTACCCCTTCTGTTGTGATCATTCGTTACTATCTTCTTTGATATGAATTAATCGGCAGGTTTTGACAAAAAATAGATGACGTAATACATTTAAATAATTTGATAAATTTTTTTTAAATTTTAATATTTACTTGAATGTAATTACAAGTTAAAATAGGTTTTAAACTCCACTAAACTATCAAGTTTGATGTAATTTCATATTTACATATAAAGCAAGTGAAATTAATATCATAATTAAATTCAATAGATTTTAAAACCTTATTATTTCAAATAAACAATTTGCAACAAATTATAAAATTTTAAAAAATCTATAATCTATTATTTCTTATAAAGTTTAATTTGCATAAAAAATAAGATATTAGCTTCCCATCATTCAACTCTATAAGACTTTATTTGAGATAGCTTTTGACCACTATTTCTTTGATACTTTTAAAAAAATTTATACAAAAATTTGCTTTAAAAAGTAGTAAGAAAGGCGTCGTCGCAAATGAAGCCTAAACAATTTATATTTTACAGTAAAAAATAAAAAATAAAATTTTTATTTTCAATTAATTTATTCTCAAATTTATATAAATTTGACTCTAGACTTCTTGGTTGAAAGCTTATGCTACTAATAGGCTGTATAAATAAATATTATTTAGGTTTTTCAAAATTTTTATTTGATTTTTCTTTTCTACCCAATTCAAAAATTATGGAGTTTGCC